AAAAAAAAAAAAAAAAAAAGCCAGCTTGGCAGCCGGAGCCGGCTGGAAATCCAGGTCCTCCAGATTCCGGCTGGAAATCCAGCTTGCCTGGGTAAAAAGAAGTGCCCTTTTCTCCTTTTTCTTTTTCTTTTTCTTTTTCTTTTTGTTTTATGCCACGGCAGCAATGGCAGGGCCATTTTTCTGAGCTCTGCAAGACCCTCCCAGATTCCGTCTGTTTTTTTTTGTTTTTTTTTTTAATTTAAATTAACAAAGAAATTCAAGAGAATTAAAGGAGACGTTGAAAACTATGAATGACTACCGACCTCTTCTCGAATGCTCAGAACCCCTAGACTCCCAACCAAAACTCTCTAGTCTGTCCAACACTGTCTTATTCCCTGTCAAGCTCTCCCAGGCCTCACACCCCCACCCGGCTAGGTTACAGGGCAACAGGACTCGCCCCAGCTCCGGCGAGTGTCGTCTCAACAGCACCCCTTGGTTGTCCCTTGGAATGCCCACCCCAAAGCATCCCCAGATTCCGCTGAACATTGAAAATTTGAAATGCACAAGGCTGGCGTTCGGGGGTTAGGGAAGTGTGAGTGAGCGGACGAGTCATCCCGCCCCTTACTGGGGGATTCGTGCGGAATAATAAATAAGCCAGCATTTTTTTTTAAGTCCATGGTGTAGTAGAGGGCGGAGGCCAGGCCTCAGGAGGTCCCCATGGTACTCATGACTACTCATCCATTGGGAGGTCAGATGGGTTGCTAGGCCCCCGGGGGAGTCTCCGTCTCCTCAAGGTGGCATCAAAATGATATAAACTATACTAGTGCGTGATAATCTTCAATTTGAAATTTGAGAATTACAGAAAATAAGAGCCTCAGAAACCGGCAAAAAAAAAAAGGAAAAAAAAAGACCGTCAGAAAAGCTGGCTACGAGGAAAAAAAAAAAGGGGAGGAGGGGAACTGCTACAGAAAGCTGCTTGACTTACAACCCACAAAAGACAAGACAGGACACTGCGCAGCGAAAACTGAGCTATAGCGAAATGACAGAAATCCAGAATGCAAAATCACATTGAAAGCTGTGCTACCAATTGCCCGATCACTGGACGTCCTGGTCGTCGGACGTCCAGTATACCAGTTGTCCGGGATACTGGACCGCTTTTTTTTTTGGGGGGGGGGGGGAGTGCGAAAAAAAAAAGAAGAAAATAGGGGTCAGTGCACACCCACAGAGACCCCATACAAAAAATCTGGGGCCTTTTTAAAGAAAAAAAAAAAAAAGGGGAGAGATGATGGGGTGGGGGGTTACAGGGGGGAGTGGATGGGGTGCTGCAAATTATGTAGACCCCAAGCCGCTGCAGCACATGGTACTGCGCCTGCTGCATCTGCTGGGGCATATGTTGCAGATGCAGCAGCAAATCCTGCGAGTACTGCTGGTACAGTGGGGCATGCAGCACCTGCTGCACCATCAGGTGCCTACTCATCACAGTTGAATAGGGACTGTTGTGGTGACATTTCACAACCCACACAAACACACATGCACACACACACACACACACACAGTCTCTTTTTTTATTGATTGATTGATTAAAAAACAAAAATTGTAAGACAAGGCTAGAAGCGGTACAGACGTGCAAATCGTTCGTCAAACTTGGGTATACGGGCGAAAGAGTAATCGAACTGTCTGGTAGCTGGTTCAGGATAGTTGGAGCTGTTGGACAGTTTTGTCGCATAATCCGATCAATCAATCAATCAATCAATCAAWCAAWCAATCAATCAAAAAAAAAGGAAAAAAAAAAACAATCGAATCAATCGATTCAATTGGATATTGATTTCAAAATCAATATCCAATCGAATCGATTGATTCAATGGGTCTTTTTTCCCCTTTTCTTTTGACTGATTGATTACGGACGTGCAAATCATTCGTCAGACTTGGGTATATGAGCGAAAGACGTATCGAACCGTCTAGTAGGTGGTTCCCTCTGAAGTTTAACTCAGGATAGTTGCAGCTGTTGAACAGTTTTATCGGGTAATCCAAATGATTAGAGGAGGACGACGAGGAGGAACGGAGAGGAGGAGGAGGAGGAGGAGGAGGAGGAGGAGGAGGAAGAGGAGGAACGGAGAGGAGGAGGAGGAGGAGGAAGAGGAGGAAGAGGAGGAAGAGGAGGAAGACAAGAAGGAAAGAGTCGAGGCCGATGATGATGATGAGGAGGAGGCCTCCAACACGTTTCGCCTCTCCCCTGACGACAAGAATGAAAAAAAAAAAAAACAAGAGGACAATGAGGACGAGGGGGAGGAGGACTAAGAAAAGGAATAGGAGGACAACAAGGAGGAGGAGGAGGAGGAGGAGGAGGAGGAGGAGGAGGAGGAGAAGGAGGAGAACAACAGGAACAGGACGAGGAGGAGGAGGAGAAAGAGGAGAGAGAGCGAATTGACAAAAATCCAGAATGCAAAATCACAGTGAAAGCCAGAAAGTCCAACGCTGTCCAGAAAGCAGAAATGCACTGATATTCCACCCACGGAGAACCAAAGCACCGAATGCGAATGTCAATGAGAGCATACTCTCGCCACCACCGACATATGTATCCAGAGCCCTTCCTCCTATTTGGCGCTCAGCGCCCAGACTACTATCACACAGCTACTACCAGCCTACGAATTGACAATGCAACCTGCTGACGTCAACAACAACAACCGAAGTACATGAAGATGTCGTCCCTGTAGACCATCGCCAAGACCAGGTACGTGCCCTCACATCCTCATCCTCATCTCTCTCTCTCTCACCCTCGACTTCTGCACCCAAGTCTTCTCCCTCATACACGAAGACCACCACCACCTCTCGCTGACTGTCCAAGTCCAAGCCCAAGCCCGACTACGTGGGCTGCGCTATGGTGCTGCCCTCAGCAGTGTCCTTTTCCACGCGTTACCGCACACGTGCAGGCTTCTGCACTGGTGGTAGCAGCAGCACGCGAGTGCTCGCTCCAGCAGCGCTGCTGCCCGCTCAACCAAGTGCCCAACCCCCACCCTGACGCCTGACACTTTCCTATATCGAAAGTGTTGGGAGCAAGGCCTGCTCTTTCCCGTCGGGACCGAGTTTCCACTAGCTTCAGTCTCGGCCAAAGTGTCTGCGCCCAGGCCCGTTCAGACAGTGGCCTGGGACAGAATTGGTAAGGCATGCCCAACCACCTAGGCACAAACGTGCGGTGTTCCCTGCTTCGACCATGTTGTCGGAAGAGCCCGGAAGGCTCACAAAAATTTCCGATTCTCACGAGTTGTAACCAACTGCCGCGTGGCAATTGTCTGACGCCCATCAAGATTTGCAAAACTTGACGAGTCCAGGGCACAGTGAGATTCAGGGGACCTGCCTTCACTCAGGGCGGGCACGCGCCTGCTGCAGAGCCTTATGCTGAGGTGTAAATCCTCGCACTCCCTCCTCCTTTACTTCAATAGTCCTCTGAGACGTCCTTATACAGCAGGCTGCTTCCCTTTCAATTTCTTTTCGTGACCTGAGATAATCTGGGGAGCAGTCTTCATTAGTTCTTCTCTTGTACCGATCTTCTTTAGGATCAGTATGATGTCAGAGCCGGACTCGATACTGCATTTGCAGTTTCGGAGGTCGTTCCCTGCCTGGAGGCTTGGGCACAGGCATCAGCTTGTGCTCAACGATATCATCGATGTCCACATGTCCGTCCATGGTTGGGGGCAGCATTGATCTTCTTGAGGGAAATTGTTCAGTTTCAGCGAAAGAAGCCAACTTGGATGCGTGGAAAACAGGGTGTGTACGAAGGTGACCAGGGATGCGAATGACATATGATGGACCATCTGGTTGATCTCCTACTATGTCTAAGACTTCCAAGGGTCCAAAGTATTGTGGCATAAGTTTGCGAGATTCCCAATTCCTGTCCCAACCCAGATGACTTTACCCAGACTCGTTCACCTATCTGAAACGTTGATGGCAGTCTGTGTCTGTTCTCAGATGCAATTATGGCATCCTGAGCTTTCTTGACGTGCTCGACAGCCTGCTGCAGCATCTGTTCTTACTTGGCAGCAAACTCTATGCTGCCTGGTGCTGCAGTTGGCTGATTTTTAGGCGACAGAAAGTCAAGAGCAGATCTGGGCTTCCAACCAAGATGCAGCGGGTTGGGAGTCGTACCAGTAGTGCTGTGCACAGAATTGTTGTACAGGCTGGCGATGAGAGGTAACTTGTCACGATCCTGGCCAATTTTGAAGTACACATTCATCAGAAAGTACAATGTCGTCCAATTGCAAAACGAAATGAATGAGCTTGAGAGGCGAGAGAGGGAAAGAAGAAGAAGATAGAAGAA